CTTTCTCTGGCCACCTTGTGAGTGCTACCTTACTGCAAGCAGACATGTTTGAAAGGTACTGCCATTCAAAAAAATAAAAAATCTGTTCATGTTCATTTTTACAAATCTATACAATTGGCCAGAATATGGTTGTTCATATTTACAAATCTATACAATTGGCCAGAATATGGTTGTTCATTTTTACAAAGCCATACATATTGTTTATGCAGTGTTGAGGAATGTGAAAGAACACCCTTGATTATTTTTACTGTGATAACTTATTTTGCTTTTGTAAGCCAACACTTTTGAGATCAGTCAATAAATGCTTCTGGTATTGACTTATATGCTGCCCCTGTCTTCATGTTGTTGCTGGACATATCTTTTTAAAAATGTGTGTAGGTCACCTAAATCATCAGAAAAATTGCCCCTCCTGAGAATTTTTTCAGGAGCCGCCACTGCATACAACATACTGCATGTCATATGTTCTCCTGTCACACAGAACACACATTAAGTAATCTGCAGTCAGTGAACATACAGAAGACGAGATGAGATGCAAATCCCTTATCAGGAAATGTCAATCATACAACATACTTACAGTATGTCGTATGTGTCACATGTTCTATCATGATGACATTCGGTGAGTTATCTGTGTGGTGTGTGTAATTGCAGGGTGCAGACATGCCATTACTATCTCAATATGACAGGGAGATTGAATGAAAAATTAATTACTGGTTGAAAATCCATCAAGCTTGACGTCAGGAAAATGAATGAAAAGCTTGTGATTTCTACATACAGTAGCTCTAGCACTTTATATTATTCTGTATGCAGGTCAAGTGTCCCAGATAGGTTTGTAGCATAGGTCAGAGACTTCTCATAAAATTCTACTAATAATACTTCTTTCAAGTATTATAGCGCTATTCATTACATAAAGAAACCTCAAAGTGTTGTTAAATAGCTCTGATACTATAGCTATCTGTAGTGCCATAGTATTCCTTATATTGAACACAACAGCTTTGTCTTTCACAGTAGTTTTATGTCGTATAGACCTTGTACTAGCATGTGGAAACCTCCAGTCCCATGGATCTATTATGTGTATTATTATTCTGCTCTATGTATGTTCTGTATGGCGCAAACTTCAATGTTCAATGTTCAATGTTCTGGCGCCGACGAAGATGGCGGCCTCGCGACTAGATCTTAGGAAACTTTGCAGTATTTTGTTTTTTTTATGTATTATTTTTTACATTAGTAAGTGTTTTGTATCAGTACATACAGCCGGGAAAAACTATTGGATATCAGAGCGGCGGTAACTCACCAGCATTACGACCAGGAATACAACTTTGTTTGCTCTCCCCAGGGCAACTGAACTGATTCCAGCGGCTGACCCAAAACATCGCCGGCGAAAGAGAGGCACTCGGAGCGGCCTGCTGGTCCAACTTAGGAGGCGCGCACACCACCCACAGCTTCCAAGTATTCTACTCGCTAACGTTCAGTCTTTGGTTAACAAAGTCGACGAACTACGGGCAAGGATTTATTTCCAGAGAGACATCAAGGCCTGTAACATACTCTGTTTCACGGAAACATGGCTCTCTTGGGATATTCTGTCGAAATCGGTCCAGCCAGATGGGTTCTCAGTTCATCGCGCAGACAGGAATAAATATCTCTCCGGGAAGCAGAAGGGCGGAGGTATGTGTTTCATGATTAACGACTCATGGTGTAATTGTAGTAACATAGAGGAACTCGAGTCCTTCTGTTCACCCGACCTAGAATTTCTCACAATCAAATGCTGACCGTATTATCTCCCAAGAGAATTCTCTTCGGTTATAGTCACGGCTGTGTATATCCCCCCCTCAAGCTGATACCACGACAGCCCTCAAAGAACTTCACTGGACCTTATGCAAACTGGAAACCACATATCCTGAGGCAGCATTTATTGTAGCCGGGGATTTTAACAAAGCAAATTTGAGGACTAGGCTGCCGAAGTTCTATCAACATATCGACTGTTGTACTCGTGTTGCTAAAATCCTCGACCATTGCTTTTCAAACTTCCGGGATGGTTATAAGGCCCTCACCCGCCCTCCTTTCGGCAAATCTGACCACGACTCCATTTTGCTTCTCCCTTCCTATAGGCAGAAACTCAAACAGGAAGTACCCGTGCTAAGGACTATTCAACGCTGGTCTGACCAATCGGAATCCACGCTTCAAGATTGTTTTGATCACGTGGACTGGGATATGTTCCGGGTAGCTTCCAAAAATAATTTTGACATATACACTGAAACGGTGACGGAGTTTATCAGGAAGTGTATAGGTGATGTTGTGCCCACTGTGACTATTAAAAACCTACCCTAACCAAAAACCGTGGATAGACGGCAGCATTCGCGCAAATCTGAAAGCGCGAACCACCGCATTCAACCATGGCAAGGTGACTGGGAATTTGGCAGAATACAAACAGTGTAGCTACTCACTCCGCAAGGCAATCAAACTGGCAAAATATCAGTATAGAGACAAAGTGGAGTCGAAATTCAACGGCTCAGACACGAGACGTATGTGGCAGGGTCTACAGACAATCACGGACTACAAAAAGAAAACCAGCCACGTCGCCGACACCGACGTCTCACTTCCAGACAAGCTAAACACCTTCTTCGCCCTCTTTGAGGATAACACAGTGCCACTGACGAGGCCCACTACCAAGGACTGGGGCCTCTCCTTCTCCATGGCCGATGTGATTAAGACATTTAAGCATGTTAACCCCCGCAAGGCTGCCGGCCCAGACGGCATCCCTAGCCGCGTCCTCAGAGCATGCGCAGACCAGCTGGCTGGTGTGTTCATGGACATATTCAATCTCTCCCTTTCCCAGTCTGCTGTTCCCACATGCTTCAAGATGGCCACCATTGTTCCTGTACCCAAGAAAGCAAAGGTAACTGAACTAAATGACTATTGCCCTGTAGCACTCACCTCTGTCATCATGAAGTGCTTTGAGAGACTAGTCAAGGATCATATCACCTCTTCCTTACCTGTCACCCTAGACCCACTTCAATTTGCTTACCGCCCCCAATAGATCCACAGACGATGCAATTGCCATCACACTGCACACTGCCCTATCCCATCTGGACAAGAGGAATACCTATGTAAGAATGCTGTTCATTGACTATAGCTCAGCATTCAACACCATAGTACCCTCCAAGCTCATCATTAAGCTTGAGGCCCGTGGTCTGAACCCCGCCCTCTGCAACTGGGTCCTGGACTTCCTGACGGGCCGCCCCCAGGTGGTGAAGGTAGGAAACAACATCTCCACTTTGCTCATCCTCAACACTGGGGCCCCACAAGGGTGCGTGCTCAGCCCCCTCCTGTACTCCCTGTTCACCCATGACTGCGTGGCCAAGCACGCCTCCAACTCAATCATCAAGTTTGCAGACGACACAACAGTAGTAGGCTTGATTACCAAAAATGACGAGACCGCCTACAGGGAGGAGGTGAGGGCTCTGGGAGTGTGGCGGCAGGAAAATAACCTCTCACTCAACATCAACAAAACAAAGGAGATGATCGTGGACTTCAGGAAACAGCAGAGGATGCACCCCCCTATCCACATCGACGGGACCGCAGTGGAGAAGGTGGAAAGCTTCAAGTTCATTGGCATACACATCACCGACAAACTGAAATGGTCCACCCACGCAGACAGTGTGGTGAAGAAGGCGCAACAGAGCCTCTTCAACCTCAGGAGGCTGAAGAAATTTGGCTTATCACCTAAAACCCTCACAAACTTTTACAGATGCACAATTGAGAGCATCCTGTCGGGCTGTATCACCCGCCTGGTACGGCAACTGCACAGCCCACAACCGCAGGGCTCTCCAAGACACATACAGCAACGATGTCACAGGAAGGCCAAAAAGTTTGTCAAGGACATCAACCACCCGAGCCACTGCCTTTTCACCCCGCTATCATCCAGACGGTGAGGTCAGTACAGGTGCATCAAAGCTGAGACCAAGAGAATGAAAAACAGCTTCTATCTCAAGGCCATCAGACTGTTAAATAGCCATCACTAGCACATTAGAGGCTGCTGCTGCCTATTGAAATCACTGGCCACTTTAAGAAATGGAACACTAGTCACTTTAATAATGTTTACATATCTTGCACTACTAATCTCATATGTATATACTGCATTCTATCCTATAATATTCTTCTGTATCTTAGTCCATGCCGCTCTGTCATTGCTTGTCCATATATGTATATATTCTTAAATCCCATTCCTTACTTTTTTGCGTGTATTGGGTATATGTTGTGTAGTTGTTAGATATTACTGCACTGTCAGAGCTAGAAGCATAGGCATTTCGCTACACCCGCTATAACATCTGCTAAACATGTGTATGTGACAAATAACATTTGCTTTGATTTGATTTGATTTGTTAGATTTAGATTAGATTAGATTAGTTATTTCTTCTGAAAATGGGAAGAGATTTCATACCGTCGCCTCAGGATTGAATGCATGTCACATATTTCACTCCCACTCGTGTGTGTGCATGCATATGTGTATATGTGTGTGTATGTGCTTACTGCTTACATGTCGTGTGTGTGTTTGTAATTGATTTGCTGAGATGGTAACAACAAGGAGACAAACATCACATATCTTTGCCCTGCAAATGAAAAACACAAATAAATATTTTCTGACCTGTTCATAACTGCTCCTGATGTTTCAGGTCTACATGAGGGGCTAGCGTGTAGGGGCTAGGCTGCTAGGGTATACAGGCTTCTATGGTATAGTGGCTAGGGTTTAGGGGCTAGGGCTTGATTTGGATCTCGCCTGTTCATAAAACTCATTGACGATGCCCTCGATCCACTGTAGATGCAGGTCATTTCAGTGTGTGTTTGTTTGTTTTTGTGTTTGTGTTTGTGTTTGTGTTTGTGTTTGTGTGTGTGTGTGTGTGTGTGTGTGTGTGTGTGTGTGTGTGTGTGTGTGTGTGTGTGTGTGTGTGTGTGTGTGTGTGTGTGTGTGTGTGTGTGTGTGTGAGATATAGAGAGAATCTTACCTGTTCATAGAACTCATCCACGATGCCCTTGGTCCACTGTAGGTGCAGGTCCTTGTGTTTCAGTGGACCGTTGATGTCAGCTAGCTTGATGCACATCTGACACACAAGGAGTCTGTCGTTCTCATTGGACCAATCAATGCCCCTCGTCATGTCATTACCCACCTATAAGAACAGACAGAGACAAAATATGTTGCTTTATAAATACTTTATGAACTTATATGGTACCACGGGACAGCAGGGGACATACTGTATAAAACGTTGTATCCAGCACATATCTGAAAAAATATGTGCATGCAATTCAATAACAAACATGGTAGATCAAGTTGCAAATAATTTCACGAAGAATGTAAAATTGAAATTGGATTCCTGATTTAAAATGACATAGCTCCAACATTCCCTATTTTGGACTCCCCCTTTAATGCCCACTATGTTACTGTTCTGTGCTGTGAAATCAGCTTAATGAAGTTATTGAAGTTAACCATAAAGTGGATGAATTCTCTTCCCCAAACATTTTTCTTTTTTAATGGATACATAATTTCTAGGTAGGCCTAATGAGTGTGTCTTATCATGCTAACGCAGTAACCACTGAGGGCAGGAGCAGCTACATCAACAGCTAATTCAATGGGTTTTTTCAGAGAAAGCTTAATTTGGTTTCTAGTAATAGGAGGGGAAGGCGTGCAAAGCCAGTGTAGTCAGGCGCCTTTGTGTGTGTGTGTGTGTGTGGGGGGGGGGGAGCTGTGTGTGTGTGTTACAACAGAGCCAGCATGACAGGCACAGCATTGTTTCGGTTAGCTTTGGTGCCACACACACAGACACGCACGCATACACACACTGAATGGGCATAACACTGCTAGCTTTGGTGGCAGGCCAGCACTCTGTTGTATAAACTGGCAGAGCCTAACCACCCACCACCAGCAGTGCTTTAATACAGAACAGTGGAAAGACTCAGCCCCACAAATGATAGCAGCAGAATTCAGTCCGCAAATAAGATTTCATGAAATGCCGCGGGGGTTAGGGGGAGTCTGAGTATTCTTATGGGTTAGTCAGTAATGAGAGTAAAATGAGGATATTGCCTGTCAACGTGAGCAAGACAAAGGAGCTGATCGTGGACTACAGGAAAAGGAGGACTGAACATGCCCCCATTCAAATCGACGGGGCGGTAGTGGAGCGGGTCGAGAGTTTCAAGTTCCTTGGTGTCCATATCACTAACAAACTATCATGGTCCAAACACACAAAGACAGTCGTGAAGAGGGCACGACAACACCTTTTCCCTCTCAGGAGACTGAAAAGACTTGGCATGGGTCCCCAGATCCTCAAAAAGTTATACAGCTGCACCATCGAGAGCATCCTGACCGGTTGCATCACCGCCTGGTATGGCAACTGCTCGGCATCTGACTGTAAGGCACTACAGAGGGTAGTGCGTACGGCCCAGCACATCACTGGGGCCAAGCTTCCTGCCATCCAGGACCTCTATACATCCAGGACCTCATCCAACCCCCCCCCCCCCCCCCCCCCCCAAAAAAAAAAAAAAAAAAACATTGGAAAGTGGTTGTACCACTGGCTATAAGGTGAATGCACCAATTTGTAAGTCGCTCTGAATAAGAGCGTCTGCTAAATGACATAAATGTAACATGTAAATGTAAATGTTGGATGGGGAGCGTCGCTGCACAGCTTTTTTTAGGTCTCTCCAGAGATGTTAGATCGGGTTCAAGTCCGGGCTCTGGCTGGGCCATTCAAGGACATTCAGAGACTTGTCCCGAAGCCACTCCTGTGTTGTCTTGGCTGTGTGCTTAGGGTCATTGTCCTGTTGTAAGGTGAACCTTTGCCCCAGTCTGAGGTCCTGAGCACTCTGGAGCAGGTTTTCTCTGTACTTTGCTGTGTTCATCTTTCCCTCGATCATGACTAGTCTCCCAGTCCCTGCCGGTGAAAAACATCCCCACAGTATGATGCTGCCACCACCATGCTTCACCGTAGGGATGGTGCCAGGTTTCCTCCAGACGTGACGCTTGGCATTCAGGCCAAAGAGTTCAATCTTGGTTTCATCAGACCAGAGAATCTTGTTTCTCATGGTCTGAGAGTCCTTTAGGTGCCTTTTGGCAAACTTCAAGCGGGCTGTCATGTGCCTTTTACTGAGGAGTGGCTTCCGTCTGGCCTGATTGGTAGAGTGCTGCAGAGATGGTTGTCCTTCTGGAAGGTTCTCCCATCTCCATAGAGGAACTCTGGAGCTCTGTCAGAGTGACCATCAGGATTTTGGTCACCTCCATGACCAAGGCCCTTCTCCCCCGATTGCTCCGTTTGGCCGGGCGGCCAGCTCTAGGACGAGTCTGGGTGGTTCCAAACTTCTTCCATTTAAGAATGATGGAGGCCACTGTGTTCTTGAGGACCTTCAATGCTGCAGAAATGTTTTGGTATCCTTCCCCTGATCTGAGCCTCGACACAATCCTGTCTCGGAGCTCTACGGACAATTCCTTCGACCTCATGGCTTGGTTTTTGCTCTGACATGCACTGTCAACTGTGGAACCTTGTATAGACAGGTGTGTGCCTTTCCAAATCATGTACAATCAATTTAATTTACCACAGGTGGAACCCAATCAAGTTGTAGAAACATCTCAAGGATGATCAATGGAAACAGGATGCACCTGAGCTCAATTTCGAGTCTCAAAGAAAAGTGTTTGAATACTTACGTAAATAAGGTATTTTTTAAATATTTTTTTATATATGCAAAAAAATCTAAAAACCTGTTTCCGCTTTGTCATTATGGGTATTGTGTGTAGATTAATGAGTAAAACAAGTATTTAATCAATTTTAGAATAGGGCTGTAACGTAACAGAATGTGGAAAAAGTGAATGGGTCTGAATACTTTCCGAATGCACTGTACATTTTACCTAAATTACCTCAACTACCTCGTAGCCCCGCACATTGACTCGGTACCAGTACTCCTTGTATATAGCCTCATTACTGTTATTTCATTTTGTTACTATTTCCTTTTTAAATTATTAATAATAATAATACTTTTTTTAGTTGCTTACTTTTTAACTCTGCATTGTTGGGAAAGGGCTCATAAGTAAGCATTTCACGATAAAGTCTACACCTGTATTCGGCGCATGTAACATTTTTTATTTTATTTTATTCATTCAAACCTCCTTTTCAGTATGAGGGCAGTAGCCTTTTTTCCCATGGTCAAATAAACTCACTGTCACGGTTTCGGCCGAGGCTGCCTCTCTCCCTTGTTCGGGCAGGCTTCGGCGTTCGTCGTCTCCGGAATTCTAGCTGCCACCGATTTATGTTTTCATGTTCGTTTGCTTTTGTCTGTTTGTGTCACACCTGTTTCTGTTTTACGTGATTAGTGTCCTATAAGTTTCTCGTTGTGTTTGTCTTGTGTTGTGTGTGATTGTTTTCGTCAGTGTTGTGTTTGCTCGGTTGAGCCTATTTCTCTCCACTGCGCTGGAGCTCGTTTGCACTTGTTTCGTGCACTACATATTTTGTCGCACCTGTTTGTGCGCATTTTGCCTACACGCCTTGGGCGTAGTTTAGCTGTTGGGCTTTGTTGCCCTGTTGCCTGTGTTTGGGTCGGAATACAGCTTTTGGAACCTACCGTCTGCGTCCTGCATCTGATTTCCTACACCACACCTACACACGCCCTGACAGAATCACACACCACCCATGGAATCAGCAGGAGCAGAAGCAGCCCAGACAAGACTGGAAGCCCAGGTTCGGGATCAGCAGGAGCAACTCCTGCAGATGGGGAACGCCCTGCAGGAGGTTATTTCCACACTCCGAGGCTGGGGTTCGCCTCCACCACCACCCGCCCAGCCAGCACCATCGGCCAGCCCGCCCGTTCCAGCACCGGAACATCGAGGAGTCCGTCTATCTCTCCCGAGGGCTTACGACGGGACAGCGGCTGGGTGTCAGGGGTTCTTGCTCCAGGTCGAGCTGTACCTGGCCACAGTCCATCCGGCACCTTCAGGGCATGAGAGCGTGTCCGCCCTAATCTCCTGCCTGGCCGGTAAAGCGTTGGAGTGGGCCAACGCGGAGTGGAGGAAGATCGACGCCACGACCATTACCTACACCGAGTTCTCCCGCCGCTTTAGGGCGGTGTTCGACCATCCCCCGGAGGGGAAAGCGACGGGGGAGCGTCTGGTCTTCCTTAGGCAGGGGAGGAGGAGTGCCCAGGAATTCGCACTCGAATTCCGTACTCTAGCGGCAGATGCAGGGTGGAATGATCGGGCCCTCATCGATCTCTACCGATGTAGCCTCAGAGAGGACGTCCGTCGGGAGCTGGCCTGTCGGGACGCCAGTCTCACTTTCGACCAGCTGGTCGACATGTCAATTAGGTTGGATAACCTATTGGCTACCCGCGGACGTCCTGAGGGGGGTCCGTCCATTCCATCCTCCAGCGCACCCGAGCCGTGTCCTATGGAGCTCGGGGGCGCTGGCGCTAGAGGTAGGAGGAGTCGGCAGAGTGGGGGGTCCATCCACTGCACCAACTGTGGTCGGGGAGGACACACCGCGGCTAGGTGCTGGGGATGGCCTCCTCGGGGAGATGACGACAGGTCCCGCACTGGGGATTCCCTCCAGGTGAGTAGGCGCCCCACTCACCCAGAGCTCACTGTTGCCCATTTTTGTATGCCTGTGTGTTTTCCGCAGGTGGCACCTCATTCCCAGTGTAAGGCGCTGGTAGATTCAGGCGCGGCTGGGAATTTCATTGATAAGAAGTTTTGTTTAGAGTTAGGGTTTCCCCTTCTCCCTGTGGAAGTTCCTTTTCCCGTTCACGCCCTAGATAGTCGTCCGTTGGGTACGGGCTTAATCAGGGAGGTCACGGCGCCACTTAGGATGTGTGCGCAGGGGAGTCATCAGGAGATAATACAACTGTTTCTGATTGACTCTCCTGCGTATCCGGTGGTGCTGGGCATGCCCTGGTTAAGTACCCATAACCCCGTTATTTCGTGGCAGGAGAGGGCTCTGAAGGAGTGGTCTGCTCAGTGTGTGGGTAGATGTTTGGGCGTTTCCTTAGGGGCTACCTCGGTGGAAAGTCCAAACCAGGTGCCCGCATTGCACATTCCACCTGAGTATGGGGATCTGGCTATCGCGTTTAGTAAGGCGAGGGCGACGCGATTGCCACCCCATAGGCAGGGGGATTGTGCGATAGACCTTCAGGCAGGAGCTGCGCTCCCACGGAGTCATGTGTATCCTCTGTCTCAGGAGGAGAAGAAAGCTATGGAGGTTTACATAGACGAATCACTGAGACAAGGATACATACGGCCGTCCACTTCCCCCGCGTCCTCGAGTTTCTTTTTCGTGAAGAAGAAGGATGGGGGGTTGCGTCCGTGCATCGACTACCGTGGTCTCAATCAGATTACGGTGAAGTATAGTTATCCACTCCCGCTGATTGCGACCATGACTGAGTCGTTGCATGGGGCGCGTTTCTTCACGAAATTAGATCTCAGGAGCGCGTACAACTTGGTGCGCATCAGGAAGGATGATGAATGGAAAACAGCCTTTAGTACCAGCTCGGGCCATTACGAGTATCTCGTCATGCCATACGGGTTGATGAATGCTCCGTCAGTTTTCCAATCATTCGTGGATGAGATCTTCAGGGACATGCAGGGACAGGGAGTGGTGGTGTACATAGATGACATCCTCGTGTACTCACCTACCCGTGTCGAGCATGTGGCCCTGGTGCGCAGAGTGTTGCGGAGGCTGGTGGAGCACGACCTGTATGTGAAGGCAGAGAAGTGTCTGTTTTTCCAGGAGTCGATTTCCTTCTTGGGGTATCAGTTGTCTGCGTCAGGGGTGAAGATGGAGGTAGACCGAGTGTCAGCCGTGAGTAATTGGCAAACACCAACCACTGTGAAAGAGGTGCAGCAGTTTTTGGGGTTTGCGAATTACTACCGGAGGTTTATCCGGGGTTTTGGGCAGGTGGCAGCTCCCATCACGTCTCTCTTAAAGGGGGGCCCGGTGCGTCTGCAGTGGTCAGTCGAGGCGGACAGGGCTTTTAAGAAGCTGAAGGACCTGTTCACCTCGGCTCCGGTGCTGGCGCATCCGGATCCCTCTTTACCATTTCAGGTAGAGGTGGACGCGTCTGAAGCCGGTATTGGCGCCGTGCTGTCCCAACGGTCAGGCGCGCCACCTAAACTCCGCCCCGTTGCCTTCTATTCCAAGAAGCTCAGCCCGGCGGAGCGAAATTATGACGTAGGGGACAGGGAGCTGTTAGCTGTGGTCCAAGCCCTTAAGGTGTGGAGGCACTGGCTTGAGGGGGCTCAACACCCTTTCCTCATTTTGACGGACCACCGTAACCTGGAGTACATCCGGGCAGCGAGGAGGCTGAACCCTCGACAGGCTAGATGGAGTATGTTTTTGACCCGTTTCTCTTTTAAGATCACCTACATCCCTGGGTCACAAAACGGTAAGGCAGATGCACTGTCTCGGCGGTATGACGGGGAGGAGAGGTCCGTGGAGCCCACTCCCATACTGCCGGAGTCGTGTCTAGTGGCACCGGTGGTGTGGGAGCTCGATTCTGAGCTCGAGCGGGCATTACGCACCGACCCTAGTCCACCACAATGCCCGGAGGGTCGGAAGTATGTTCCGCTCGAGTGTCGGGATCGATTGATCTATTGGGCTCACACGTCACCCTCCTCTGGACATCCGGGTATCGGCCGGACAGTGCACTGTCTTAGTGCCAAATATTGGTGGCCTACGTTGGCCAGGGATGTGAGGGTTTATGTTTCCTCCTGCTCGGTGTGCGCCCAGTGTAAGGCGCCTAGACATCTGCCTAGGGGTAAGTTACTACCCCTGCCCGTTCCACAACGACCATGGTCCCACCTCTCGGTGGATTTTATAACTGACCTTCCCCTCTCTCAAGGGAATACTACACTCCTGGTCGTTGTGGATCGGTTCTCTAAGGCCTGTCGTTTGCTCCCCATGCCGGGTCTTCCTACTGCCCTACAAACCGCCGAAGCACTATTCACTCATGTGTTCCGGCACTACGGGGTGCCCGAGGACATTGTGGCTGACCGGGGTCCCCAATTCACCTCCAGAGTCTGGAGAGCTTTTATGGAGCGGTTGGGGGTCTCGGTGAGTCTCACCTCGGGTTACCACCCGGAGAGTAATGGGCAGGTGGAACGCGTAAACCAGGATGTGGGCAGGTTTCTCAGAACATACTGCCGGGACCGGCCGGAGGAGTGGGCGAGATATGTGCCCTGGGCTGAGATGGCACAGAACTCTCTTCGCCACTCCTCCACCCAACTAACCCCTTTTCAGTGTGTTTTAGGGTACCAGCCGGTTCTGGCACCATGGCATGAGAGCCAGATCGAGGCCCCCGCTGTGGATGAGTGGGTGCGGCGCTCGGAGGAGACGTGGAACGCTGCACACGTCCATCTGCAGCGTGCCATACGTCGACAGAAGACGAGCGCCGACCTACACCGCAGTGAGGGGCCTGTGTACGCACCTGGAGATCGAGTCTGGCTCTCTGCCAGAAACCTGCCCCTCCGCCTGCCCTGTCGGAAACTGGGTCGGCGGTTTGTAGGGCCATTTAAAGTCCTGAGAAGGTTGAACGAGGTTTGTTATAGATTACAGTTGCCAGTGGAGTATAAATGTATTAACCCCTCGTTCCATGTGTCCCTTCTCAGGCCGGTGGTAGCAGGCCCGCTCCAAGAACATGAGATCTTGGAGACCCCCCCCGCCCCCGTTGGACATCGAGGGGGCACCGGCGTACACCGTGAGATCCATCTTGGATTCTAGACGTCGGAGAGGGGGTCTTCAGTATCTAGTGGAGTGGGAGGGGTACGGTCCGGAGGAGCGGTGCTGGGTGCCGAGGAGAGACATCTTGGACCCGTCGCTCCTGACGGAATTCCATCGGGGGTATCCGACGCGCCCTGCGCCGCGGCCTCCGGGTCGTCCCCAAGGCCGGAGTCGGCGCGCGTCTGGAGCCGCGCGTCAAGGGGGGGGGTACTGTCACGGTTTCGGCCGAGGCTGCCTCTCTCCCTTGTTCGGGCAGGCTTCGGCGTTCGTCGTCTCCGGAATTCTAGCTGCCACCGATTTATGTTTTCATGTTCGTTTGCTTTTGTCTGTTTGTGTCACACCTGTTTCTGTTTTACGTGATTAGTGTCCTATAAGTTTCTCGTTGTGTTTGTCTTGTGTTGTGTGTGATTGTTTTCGTCAGTGTTGTGTTTGCTCGGTTGAGCCTATTTCTCTCCACTGCGCTGGAGCTCGTTTGCACTTGTTTCGTGCACTACATATTTTGTCGCACCTGTTTGTGCGCATTTTGCCTACACGCCTTGGGCGTAGTTTAGCTGTTGGGCTTTGTTGCCCTGTTGCCTGTGTTTGGGTCGGAATACAGCTTTTGGAACCTACCGTCTGCGTCCTGCATCTGATTTCCTACACCACACCTACACACGCCCTGACACTCACAGAATGGTCTTGGGTACTGTATGAAAACCTAACCTATAGCTACTGACTCCCATCACAGATATAACTTTATTTTAATCCCAGGTTTTCACTTTTCAGATTGCTATGGCGGGTTTGATTATAATTGTAGCCCATGTCTTTATATACATCTCTTAAAGTCTCTAAGGTCTCCAAAGAATATACCTTGGCGTTGAACTCGGCCAGGAAGTCAAAGTGTTTTTTGAGGTCAGTGGCGAGGATGGCCTCTATGACCAGGAAGCGGAAGCGTTTGAACTCCACGTGGTCCAGGTTGACTAGGAAGTTATACTCAGGACAGGACATGAACAGGTTCCAGGCCGAGGCGGCGTGGTGGTTCTCCAACACCGACCGGTCGTTATACAGCACTGCCTGGAAAAGGGAGAGAGGGAGATAAATATATTTTTTCATCCAAAGTGACCTACATATATCCAATGTAAGTATTATCCATATGTGATCCATGCCAAAATTTTACCCACAACCTTGCCGTGGCTAGGGCCACACTCTTACCAACTGAGCCACACAGGACAATGTTTACTTGTGAAGCAATCCGTGAAGAAGAGTTGAACTGGGTTTGAGAGAGAGAAGGAGAACAGGTTGTAGGCTACCTGTGGTGCGCTTGTGGCCACCAGGAAAGCGTTGGTCCTCCCAGGGTGGTCGTAGTCATGCATGGCTGCAGCCACGTACAGCGCCATGAGCTCCAGGGCTGGGATGAGCCCCGACAGGCAGCCATATCCATCCTCCGACACACTGTAGGTCTTCGACACCAGGTAGCCCATATGGCTGTGTGTGATGCCGCTGTCTGAATCTGTCAGAGCCGGAGGGGTACAAGAGAGGAGAGGAGAGGAGTGGAGAGGGTGAGAAGCGGAGCGGGGGCAGAGAAAGGAGAATATGATGAGTAGCAGCACACAGACAACACACAACCATGCCTGATTTACACTACAGGGCCGACATGAACCGTAACGTACTTGCTCTATTTTCTTTTCACATTGTACTTTCCAACATGTTTTCAGCAACTATGGTGGATGCATAACTAGGCCAGCGCAGTACAGCTCAGCATGGCTCAGCACAGTTTAGCTCAGTAGTGTGAAAAGGGTACCAGCCAGCACCCCCAAACGCCACAATCTCTAAATCCACTTATGCTCGGATCAAAGAGTTGGGCCACCAGACCATATAAATTAGGTTCTGAAAATCTGAGTGAGGGGGAACTTTAATTGAATCGCAATTTCATGCCTGCTCATGCACTGCTGAGTATTTGATAATTGGTACTCAGAATCCACGTCCCAAATAGAGCCCTGGGCCCTGGTCAAAAGTAGTGCACTATAAAGGGAATAGGGTGCCATTTAGGACTCAGCAAGGATCTGGTGCTAAGCCCCCAGTCTGATAAGAACAGCTGAGAGCATTGATCTAACTGTAACAAACATGTTTTTTCGATTAATGAGTTGGCTTACAAAGAGCAACAGGAGGTGGAGGTAGATAGGCTAAATTAAATCAATGGCAAAAGTTAATCAGATTGATACAAATTGAATTAAGACCCTTGTTAGCATTGTTTTCTAACTTACGCTTACGTCTCTTCTATTAGTACAAAATGAAAATGTTACTGAAGGTGACAACCATAGCTAACATAATGATATTACATTTACAATCTAATCCCTGAGCCGACTAGGTGAAAAATCTGCCGATGTGCCCTTGACCAAGGCACTTAACCCTAATTGCAGCTGTAAGTCGCTTTGGATAAGAGCGTTTGCTAAAGACTAAAATGTAAATGTACATTTTACTCAAAAAAATACAAATCCACTTTTTTTTTATACAGTCCGAAAAACCTGCATATGTCAAGTTCTCAAGATATAACGCTTGTCTCCTGATGCCCAACATCAACGAAGAGCAAGAAGTATCATGATGATGGATTTTGGCTTCCAATATTACACATCACATATAAACTCGAACTTGTTCTGGAACTTTTACTCTCCACTCCTTCTCATCACCACTGAGTGTGTCCTGTCCGCTACCCCTCCTCAGCTCTGTCTGGCCTGGCATGGTCTGGCACCCACCTGAGTCACTGGCAGAGCCATGGTCGGTGATGAGCCTGGGCAGACCTGGCACTGCCTGGGTGGTAAGGTACCAGACAGCATGGAGCACATCTGTAGCATGGATCCTGTTGTGATCTTAGCATGGAGAGGGAGAAGAGAGGCTGTAGTACTGATGATGTCCACTAGGATGCACTGTCATGGTGTTTATGTTTTTACTGTAAGGTTGTGTGAATAGAGATATAAGGTAATTGAAATGGAGAGTTGAAAGAAAAAAAAAATAGTGTAACATTTCCCTCTAGTGGGTGACTTCTTACATTATACTCAAAACCCAACTTCAATGTAGTCTTTTCCATAGAGATAGATAGAGGACTCATCTTTATATCTGTGCCATTATAGTGTCTGTGATAGCATGGGCAGCGCTATTGAGGCTACAACCCATAGGAATCCCGACCCAGTTGACTACTTTGACTACTTTAAAATGGTGGAAGCACTTAATGGCGCTTCCATGCTAAAACTGCCTTTTGGCCACTACAGACCTCTATCATTCTCTATGGTCTTCCCAGCGCAGCTGTGGTAAGCCATGAGTCTGGCAAGCGAGAATACTTCAATGTGAATATAAAAGTGAGGGAAAATACTAAATGTTAAGCTGGGTTCTTACATGGTATGTCTCTGTACCCATTCTCCAGAGCATGGAAGTAGTTCATGAAATCTTGGACAGGGATCTTGAAAGTCTCAAATAGGCCTGTGTCTTCAAATAGTCTGAGAGAGACCTGAAACACATACAGAGTCAGACAGCTCACAGGACCAATCAAATTCTCACCTGTCAGACAGACTCTTTGACTGACAACAGGGTTGGGAAGGTTACTTTCTAAATGTAATTTGTTACAGTTAAAATCGTCATCAGTAATGTAACTTTTGGATTACCCAAACACAGTAACGTAATCTGATTACTTTCAGTTACTTTTAGATTACTTTCCCCTTAAGAGGCATTAGAATAATACAAAAATGAATATTACGACTTTAACGACATCTATTGCAGGATAAATCAGTGTTAGAGTTTACATAGCTGGCCTAAAATGGATGTTGCATTTTACTTTATGGGTTGGTTACGTAGGCTTCTTCCAACCCATTGCTTTCTACTACAGATAATAATATCAAGTTTTAAGTTTACATAAAAAACCAAAGTCTGTCAGATTTCCAGTCATTCCAATTAATTTAAAAGCCCTTGATCTTCAAGAACAGGACTTGGAAATTTGGAGTATAGATTAGCCACATTGTTTTACCTGAGCATAACCCAAAAACCAAGGACTTATTAGCCTACACTACTCTGTTGTTTATTTTGTCATGGTGGACTGATTGGGCTCATTGCTTTGAGTTGAAAAATAAATGCTGCTCTTTTTGAAAAGTGCTATTTACATGTGAAAAATGTATGCGATATGGTGCATTTCCTATAGACCTATTGTTTAAGTTTTTGTTGGTGACACTTTGATATCTCTATAATTTGCAGCTGTTTAAAGGGTGAATCCACAGTTGAAACAATAACTAAATGGACACCCATGTATAAGAGGTCATATAATACGTTTTGTAGTGATTCCTATGTTGTTGATGTAAATAATATTTGTTGGTCTGTGGTGTGTAATGAGGAGCAACCAGACGCTGCACTTGACACATTTATGAAATTGCTCATTCCAGTTACTAATAAGCATGCACCCATTAAGAAAATGACTGTAAAAACGTATAAATCCCTGTGGATTGATGAGGATTGTATGTTTGAGAGGGATGAGGCAAAAGGAATGGCAAATAAGTCTGGCTGCACAACCGATTGGCAAACGTACTGCAAACTGAGAAATCATGTGACTAAACTGAATCAAAAGAAGAAGAAACTATACTACGAAACAAAGATAAATAATATAAAGAATGATAGTAAAAAGCTTTGGAGCACTTTAAATTAAATTTTGGGCAAAAAGGCTCAGCTCCATCATTCTTTGAATCAGATGGCTCATTCATCACAAAACCCACTGATACTGTCAATTACTTTAATGATTTTTTCATTGACAAATTTAGCAAACTTAGGCATGACATGCCAGCAACAAACCGCTGACACTACACATCCAAGTATAACTGATCAAATTATGAAATTTTGAATTCCGTGAAGTGAGTGTGTAAGAGGTGAAAAAAGTATTGTTGTCTATCAACAATGGCAAGCCATCAGGATCTGACAATGTGGATGGAAAATTAGGAAGGATAATAGCGGACGATATTGCCACTCCTATTTGCCATATCTTCAAATTTAGCCTACTAAAAAGTGTGTGCCCTCAGGCCTGGAGGGAAGCAAAAATAATTCCGCTACCCAAGAATAGTAAAGCCCCCCTTACTGGCTCAAATAGCCGACCAATCAGCCTGTTACCCATCCTTAGTAAACTTTTGGAAAAAATTGTGTTTGACCAGATACAACGCTATTTTACTGTAACAAATTGACAACAGACTTTCAGCACACTTATAGGGAAGGACATTCAACAAGCACGGCACTTACACAAATGGCTGAGAGAAATTGATGATTGTGGGAACTGTTTTGTTAGACTTCAGTGCGACTTCTGACATTATTATTATCAATCATAGTCTGCTGATAAAAAAACGTATGTGTTATGGCTTTACACCCCCTGCTATATTGTGAATAAACAGTCACCTGTCTAACAGAACACAGAGGGTGTTCTTTAATGGAATCCTCTACAACATAATCCAGGTAGAATCAGGAATTCCCCAGGGCAGCTGTCTAGGCCCCTTACTTTTTTCAATCTTTACTAGTGACTTGCAACTGGCCTTGAGTAAAGCTAGTGTGTCTATGTACAGTTGAAGTCGGAAGTTTACATACACCTTAGCCAAATACATTTAAACTCAGTTTTTCACAATTTCTGACATTTAATCCTTGTAAAAATTCCCTGTTTTAGGTCAGGTAGGATCACCACTTTATTTTAAGAATGTGAAATGTCAGAATAATAGTAGAGAGAATGTTTATTTCAGCTTTTACTTATTTCATCACATTCCCAGTGGGTCAGAAGTTTACATACACTCAATTAGTATTTGGTAGCATTGCCTTTAAATTGTTTAACTTGGGTCAAACTGTTCGGGTAGCCTTCCACAAGCTTCCCACAATAAGTTGGATGAATTTTGGCCCATTCCTCCTGACAGAGCTGGTGTAACTGAGTCAGGTTTGTAGGCCTCCTTGCTCGCACACGCTTTTTCAGTTCTGCCCACAAATGTTCTATAGGATGGGGGTCATGGCTTTGTGATGGCCACTCCAATACCTTGACTTTGTTGTCCTTAAGCCATTTTGCCACAACTTTGGATGTTTGCTTGGGGTCATTGTCTATTTGGAAGACCCATTTGCGACCAAGCTTTAACTTCCTGACTGATGTCTTGAGATGTTGCTTCAATATATCCACATAATTTTCCATCCTCATTATGCCATCTATTTTGTGAAGTGCACCAGTCCCTCCTGCAGCAAAGCCCCCCCACAGCATGATGCTGCCACTCCCGTGCTTCACGGATGGGATGGTGTTCTTCGGCTTGCAAGCCTCCCTCTTTTTCCTCCAAACATAACGATGGTCATTATGGCCAAACAGTTCTATTTTGTTCTATCAGACCAGAGGACATTTCTCCAAAAAGTATGATCTTTGTCCCCATGTGCAGTTGCAAACCGTAGTCTGGCTTTTTTATGGTGGTTTTGGATCAGTGGCCTATTTCTTGCTGATCGGCCTTTCAGGTTATGTCGATATAGGACTCGTTTTACTGTGGATATAGATACTTTTGTACCTGTTTCCTCCAGCATCTTCACAAGGTCCTTTGCTGTTGTTCTGGGATTGATTTGCACTTCTCGCACCAAAGTACGTTCATCTCTAGGAGACAGAACGCGTCTCCTTCCTGAGCGGTATGATGGCTGCGTGGTCCCATGGTGTTTATACTTGCGTACTATTGTTTGTACAGATGAACGTGGTACCTTCAGGCGTTTGGAAATTGCTCCCAAGGATGAACCAGACTTGTGGAGGTCTACAAAAAAAAAATCTGAGGTCTTGGCTGATTTATTTAGATTTTCCCATGATGTCAAGCAAAGAGGCACTGAGTTTGAAGGTAGGCCTTGAAATACATCCACAGGTACACCTCCAATTGACTCAAATGACTCCAACCTAAGTGTATGTAAACTTCAGACTTCAACTGTATGTGGATGACTCAACACTATACACGTCAGCTACTATAGCGAGTGAAATCACTGCAACAGTTAACAAAGAGCTGCAGTTAGTTTCAGAATGAGTGGCAAGAAATAAATTAGTCATAAATATTTCAAAAACTAAAATAAATGTATTTGGGATAAATCCTTCACTAAAGCCTAAACCTCAACTAAATCTTGTAATAAATAATGTGGAAATGTAGCAAGTGGAGGTTACTAAACTGCTTGGAGTAACCCTGGATTGTAAACTGTCATGGTCAAAACATGTTGATACAACAGTAGCTAGGATGGGGAGAAGTCTGTCTATAATAAAGAGCTGCTCTGCCTTTTAACAACACTATCAACAAGGCAGGTCCTACAAGCTCTAGTTTTGTCGCACCTGGACTATTGTTCAGTCGTGTGGTCAGGTGCCACAAAGAGGGACCTCGGAAAATTACAGTTGGCTCAGAACAGGGCAGCACGGCTGGCCCTTAAATGTACACGGAGAGCTAATATTAATAATATGCATCTAAATCTCTCATGGCTGAAAGTGGAGGAGAGACTGACTTCATCACTACTTGTTTTTGTAAGAAGTGTTGACATGCTGAATGCACAGAGATGTCTGTTTAAACTACTAGCACACAGCTCTGACACCTATGCGTACCCCAAAAGACATGCCACCAAAGGCCTTTTCACAATCCCCAAGTCAAGAACAGACTATGGGAGGAGCACAGTAGTACACATAGCCATGGCTACATGGAACTCTGTTCCACAATCAGATAACTGCAAGCAGTAGAATCAGATTTAAAAGACAAATACAAATACACCTTATGGAACAGCGGGGACTGTGAAGAGAAACACACACAGGCACAGACACACATACACATGATAAGACACGCACTCTACACACACGTACACATGGATTTTGTATTGTAGATATGTGATAGTAGAGTAGTGGCCTGAGGGAACACACTTAATGTGTTATGAAAAGTGTTATGAAATGTAATGTCATGTAACTGCCTTAATGTTGCTGGACCCCAGGAAGAGTAGCTGCTAATGGGGATTGTTAATAAATACAAATACAACAACCACAATCCGTAAGGCGCAAATAGCGAAATTATACTCTATATACAGTAGATATTAGTAATAAGTGATATCCTTATCGTCCATTGACTACACCACTGCTGTCGTCCTTACCTCCAAGCGTTTATTCAAGTTGGATAATCTTTGGATGCCGACTGCAGTCGCACCATTGGAAGACATAGCTTGGACTGTAGCCTACAAAAGCCTATTTCCGCTCTTTTCCTGCGATCCATCAAAAGCATTTGGTGTGTCATTATAGTTGTCTTTGACTTGTGGTCAGACTCGCTCAGGCGGAACAAACTGAAACATTTTTTTCACAAACTTCCTTTCTGAATTTTAAAGTAATCCTAGAGGTAATCATCTAGTTTTAAAAGTATGTGTAATCTGATTACACTATTTTTGCTGGTAATGTAACAGATTACAGTTACAGTTTCTTTGTAATCCGTTACTCTCCAACTCTGATTGGCAATCTGACTGGTCTATGGGCTTACAGATGGCCTCATTCTTATATACAGCTGATGTCTCAAACAACGAATCAGATTCTCAGCTGACAGACAAACTATTTGATTGACAAGGTGACTGGCCAATGGGCTGATAGATGGTCCTGACTGATTGGCTGGTGTCCAATCAGATTCTCACCTGGCTGAGGATGCGGCCACACTTCCCCTGGGTCTTCTCCACCAGACTGAAGATGGGGAAGTTCCAGTTGTTGAGCTGGCTCATCAGGGGCTCCAAGTCCTCCATCACTAACAGTTCTGGGGCTGGTTGGGGCTTCTCCTAATGAGGACATCCACATGATATAAGGAGGTCAGACATCGATGGCTGTTTAGGATAATCTGTGCACTGAACACTCTGAGGCACACTGGACATGATATTTTGGTGGAAATGCTCCCAGAGTGGGAGTCTTTTCAACTTGACATTGTTAGTCCTTTTTGCTTCTGAGCTGGCTGTGCCTCTACCCGATGAGGTTGCACCAATAAGCCAATATTAAGACCTAGAAGGTGTATATAGAGTCGGGAAGAAGAAGACTAGAGCTAGCTCTGCGCTTGCTGCGGCTGTTTCTCACCTCTGGGGGTAGCATGAAGAGGTTTTGGTGGGGGGGTTTGCCCCCCTCTGCGTCCCCCTCTGTCGGCGCTACATCACTGCTGTCGTTGTGGTTGGCCTCGTGGGTGTTGTCGTAGTCCGATGACACCACCATCTGATCCTCTGTTGGGACGATAGAGAGAGCGTTATTAAGATGGGACACCCATAAAGTGTTCAACACTGCTGCAAAACAAATAACACCTCTCTATTGTGAGGCAGGCATAGCCTGGTATCAGATCTGTTATGATTTGTTTTATTTGGTTCCCCATTAGCTGTTGAAGAAGCAGCAGCTATGATGAGAAGCTTAGCTAGAGGAAGGTAGATAAAACATGGGATGTACCTGTCTGGCGTATCCTGTCCCCTTTGTCCATTGAACCCTCCCCATGGCTCATCTTGATGTATGGTCTCCCACAACTGTGGAAAAGGAGAGAGAGAGGTGAGAGGTTAGAAGTCAGACAGGAGTGAACATCTTTTCATCAAGCACATCTATCATTAAAAGGCGGTAGCTTTTAGATCATGGCTCTTCAACCCTGTTCGTTCCAACCCTAATCTAGCACACCGGATTCTAATAATTACCTGGCTGGTAAACTGAATCAGACTAGTTACAACTGGGGTTGGAACGAAAACCTACAGGAGGGTAGCTCACCAGGAACAGGGTTGGAGAGCCCTCCCACTGGGCAAAAACTGGTTGAATCAACGTTGTTTCCACATAATTTTAACAAAAAAAAATATGTGAAGACGTTAACACAACGTGGAAAATGTATTGGACTTGAAAAAAGTCATCAACGTAGGGGAAATTTGTCTTTTTCCATCCAACTTTTCACTTAAATCCAATGACATTGTGAAATGTTTTGTTGATTTCACGTTGAATTCATGATATTTGACAACTGAACCAAATGTTAATCAAAACTAGACATTGAAATTAAGGGGAGGTCTCTCCCCCTGCCCCTTGATTTGGGGCCCCCAGATAATTTGTATGTAGAAGGACTGAGAAGCTTAGCTCTGGTGACTTTTTAAAAGGACATTCTACTAAAAATGAATGAAAATAAAATAATGCTGACTAACTCATGTCCGCTACACTTTCATGTGCATCTTCACATTTAAATGTGCATTTTAACGTTACAGTTTTTCTCAATCACGTATTAGCAATTTTTTATGATCGTTTACAATATTGCGGACATGCAAAGATGCAGAGAATGAAGTTGGGTTACTTCTAAATAACTTTGGGTTACTCCTAAGTCATGATCTCCAACATTGTGACCTTCCATTTTAGAGCTTTGCTTTGGTGTGGATTGAGGCCTATACGTTCATATCAGTTGTGTTCCTCCATTGTATTCACCTTTACTTATTTATATTGTGGATTGTGTTTTTGTGCGCCAATGGCAAGTCTACAAAACTAAGAGCAAACCAGCCTATACATGGAATTGGATTGTGATGATACCGATGAATGAATTCTGCACACAATGTCCTTATTTTAAAAAAATAGTTATATCAGGAATAATAATAATAATGTATCTTATGCTGAAGCTGCTTAGAAAGTGAACAACAAAACTATTGTTCAGATTGCTCCGGCTCCAGCATGTCAGCAGAGAGTGGCTGCTCCGAGCAGGCCTTTAGCACCTCAGCAACTGTCAATGTGATATGCGAGCATAAATGCCCAGTTACGAAGAAAACCATGGTTGTAAATCATGACTTCTTAGTCTTCTTGTGTAGGTCAATCAATATAAGTGCTGTACATAAGAGCAGGACTGGAATAATAATGGAAGTAGTGAAGGCAGCCAATGAAATTATGGGGATTTCTGAAGTTTCAGTACAAATTATACATTGGATGCTTAGTCATACTCCTAATGATGATCAGGATCCTAAGTAGTATTATAGTGTTCCTTGTTGTCCAATGGAGTTTGATCGCCAGTGGACATGAATTGAAGAAGTGTATTCATGATTTAGATGTTTGACCGGACGTGGTGTGTATACAAGAAACGTGGCTTAAACATCAGGTGGATTTTGTTATACCGGGGTTTATTTTTGTGAGGACTGATAGAATGGAGGGTTTGGGTGGTGGGTGTGCTACATTTTTCAAAGAAGGTGTAGCACATAGAGCAATTACTGGCTCCAGTGAACACGAATGCGTGGCGGTGGAGATTTGTAGAGCAGGGGGTAATATCACTCTTTTTTAAATATTATTATTTATTTACAACACAAACAACATATCACACTAACCAAACAACAAAACACACATAACACAACATTGTTCTCTCTCATCCTGGTGAAAATTATTTTTTGACTCATAATAGCACATTTCTTTTCTTTGCATATCACAATTTCATCCTAAGAAAAAATCTAAACAAAAATGTTGCATATATGGGAGGGCTGCAACAACATTTCTAAAACAATAAATAAATGGATAGGTAATTGATAGTATGAATAATGATAAAATTGCAGTCATGATTATAATTTAGATTTTCAATAGTTTTCTCAAATTTGACAGAGCTCATTGACAGTTGGAGCATTCTGCAAATGAACGCAGCTGCTCCTCTTTCCAATTGCTTAAAATGTCTCTTTTAGCAATCAGAGTTGGTGTCCTGAGCATGAAAACATTTGGTGTCTTTTCTGGGAGATTAATTCCCAGCAAGATAAAAGCTGCATTTGTATGTAGTCTATTTCTATTTCTCCTTGAAATAGAGATAATATTATTTTCTAACACTTGACCAACATATGTACAAGCACAGAGTCATCTGATTTACACCTCCAACATCTGCTGTTGGTTGTCATGTTTGCCTTGTACATTTTAGAGGGAGTCCGGTAAATTCTATTAATTACATTATACTCAACAATTTGTGTTTTAGACTCTCTGCACGTTTTAAAATATATATTTTTTCACACATTTCTCCATTCCATTTATTGAATATTCATCTTCAAATCTTTACCCCATTTTTTCCCTTTTATTATTTCCCTTTATTTCAACAGGGAAGTCATATTGAGACTAAAGTCTCTTTTGCAAATGAGAAAAAACAACAAAAGACCACATCAATAGGCAAGTATAGATAAACATAAAATCAGTGGCTTGCGAAAGTATTCACCCCCCTTGGCATTTTTCCTATTTTGTTGCCTTACAACCTGGAATTAAAATTGATTTTGGGGGGGGGTTGAATCATTTGATTTACTCTTTGAAGATGCAAAATATTTTTGTGTGTGAAACAAACAAGAAATAAGACAAAAAAACTGAAAACTTGAGCGTGCATAACTATTCACCCCCCCAAAGTCAATACTTTGTAGAGCCACCTTTTGCAGCAATTACAGCTGCAAGTCTCTTGGGGTATGTCTCTATAAGCTTGGCACATCTAGCCACTGGGATTTTTGCCTAGTCTTCAAGGCAAAACTGCTCCAGCTCCTTCAAGTTGGATGGGTTCTGCTGGTGTACAGCAATCTTTAAATCATACCACAGATTCTCAATTGGATTGAGGTCTGGGCTTTGACTAGGCCATTCCAAGACATTTAAATGTTTCCCCTTAAACCACTCAAGTGTTGCTTTAGCAGTATGCTTAGGGTCATTGTCCTGCTGTAAGATGAACCTCCGTCCCAGTCTCAAATCTCTGGAAGACTGAAACAGGTTTCCCTCAAGAATGTCCCTGTATTTAGCGCCATACATCATTCCTTCAATTCTGACAAGTTTCCCAGTCCCTGCCGATGAAAAACATCCCCACAGCATGATGCTGCCACCACCATGCTTCACTGTGGGGATGGTGTTCTCGGGGTGATGAGAGGTGGGTTTGCGCCAGACATAGCGTTTTCCTTGATGGCCAAAAAGCTCAATTTTAGTCTCATCTGACCAGAGTACCTTCTTCCATATGTTTGGGGAGTCTCCCACATGCCTTTTGGCGAACACCAAACGTGTTTGCTTATTTTTTTCTTCAAGCAATGGCTTTTTTCTGGCCACTCTTCTGTAAAGCCCAGCTCTGTGGAGTGTACGGCTTAAAGTGGTCCTATGGACAGATACTCCAATCTCCACTGTGGCGCTTGCAACTCCTTCAGGATTATCTTTGGTCTCTTTGTTGCCTCTCTGATTGATTCCCTCCTTGCCTGGTCCGTGAGTTTTGGTGGGCGGCCCTCTCTTGGCAGGTTTGTTGTGGTGCCATATTCTTTCATTTTTTAATGATGGATTTAATGGTGCTCCGTGGGATGTTCAAAGTTTCAGATATTTTTTTATAACCCAACCCTGATCTGTACTTCTCCACAACTTTGTCCCTGACCTGTTTGGAGAGCTCCTTGGTTTTCATGGTGCCGCTTGCTTGGTGGTGCCCCTTGCTTAGTGGTGTTGCAGACTCTGGGGCCTTTCAGAACAGGTGTATATATACTGAGATCATGTGACAGATCATGTGACACTTAGATTGCACACAGGTGGACTTTATTTAACTAATTTTGTGACTTCTGAAGGTAATTGGTTGCACCAGATCTTATTTAGGGGCTTCATAGCAAAGGGGGTGAATACATATGCACACACCACTTTTCCGTTATTTAATTTTTTCATTTCACCACCAATTTGGACTATTTTGTGTATGTCCATTACATGAAATCCAAATAAAAATCCATTTAAATTACAGGTTGTAATGAAACAAAGTAGGAAAAACGCCAAAGGGGATGAATACTTTTGAAAGGCACTGTATACACAATATACACATTAAATGCACATTAAGATACAAAACACAGTCAATTAAAACAAACATATTCTTCATTATAAAACTCCTCTGTCAGCTGTTTGAATGGCTCTAGGGACACCAAAGCATCCAATCAAACTGTCTTTTGGAGATTATTCCAAGCATAGGTTGCAAGGAAGTTAAAGGCTGATTTCCTAACTCTGTAGACACCAAAAGAGTCTCCAGAGGTAGCCAACCCTGTGAACGGGTTTGATAACTTGTCATTTTAAATCTTAACAGTGAAGTTAGGTAAGTTGGAAGCTTGTGGAGCAGGATTTTGTAAACAAAAAGAGTGTAATGACGTGATCTAGGTGACTTTAAAGAGGTTCAGCCAACTTTTCGGTAAAGAATGCAGTGATGAGAAATACAACTGTATCCTGTAATACAACGATGGGCGCTATGATAAATGGCATCCAGGGGTTTAAGTGTAGTGGCAGCTGCAATTTGATAAATAGTATCACCATAATCAAGAACAGGTAGAAAGGTTGACTACACAATCTGCTTCCTGCTGACTAGAGAGAGGCAAGATCTGTTTCTGTAAAAAAAAGCCCACTTTAAATCTTAGCTTCTTAACAAGCTAATTTGTTTGTTTTTTAAACGTTAAATCATTGTCAATCCAAATACCAAGGTATTTGTATGAAGGAACTCATTCGATAATAGAACCATCCGATCAGTGAAGATGTAATCCATCTGAGACAATCTTACGAGAACTTGAAAACAACATGTATTTAGTTTTGCCCGTATTAAACACAAGTTTTAAATCAGTAAGGGCTTCCTGCACAGCTGCAATTTCGGAATGTAGCCTTGTCACAGCCAGGTCAGCAGTCTGGGCAATAGCGTACATAATAGTATCATCTCCATATAGATTACATTTTAATTTTCTCACAGATTGACCAATAGTATTTATATAAATAGTGAAAAGAGCAGGTCCTAGTATCGATCCCTGCGGAACACCTTTAACGTACTTCAAGAAATTCGGACTTAACCCCATCAATCACGGTGGCCTGAGTTCTGTTACTAAGATAATCATGAAGCCATGAGCAGGCTTCAGAGCCCAGGCAAATTGAGGACAACTTTTTCAATAAAATAGCATGATCAACAGTATCAAACGCTTTTGACAGGTCCACAAACAAGGCAGTACAATTCATATTAGCGTCTAAAGCATTACAATATCATTAACAACTAATGTGGTTACTGTGATAGTGTTGTGCCCTGGCCTAAACCCAGATTTGATTTATATTCAAAATACTCTACCATACTCAGATAAAAAAGAGCGAAGTTGCTTATTTCCAAAGATTCAAAAATCTTAGTTAGACATGGAAGCCTGGAGATGAGACGATAATTATCAAGATCACTACTATCCCCGCCCTTATGGAGTGGCAGCACATAAGCGGTTGTCCATACTTTTGGAATATTTCCTGACAACAATGTTAGATTTAAGATATGGGTTACTGAACCAGCAATGAGGGGGCAGCACACTTGAGCAGACCCGGTTCCAATTGGTCAGCCCCTGTGGATTTCTTGGACCTACGTGAGAATGCTATTAATTTACTACAGCTCACCATTGTGCCCTCCAAGCTTATCCCTAAACTAAGGACCCTGGGGTTAAACACCTCACCTCTGCAACTGGATCCTGGACTTCCTGATGAGCCGCCCCCAGGTGGTGAGGGTAGGCAACAACACATCCGCCACGCTGACCCTCAGGTACGTGCTTAGTCCACTCCTGTACTCCCTGTTCACCCACGACGGCGTGGCTGCACATGACTCCAACACCATCATTAAGTTTGCAGACGACACGAAGGTAGTAGGCCTGATCACCGACATAAAGCCATATCTCAGACTGGCCTTCTTAATATTTTCTATTTATTGGCCAGTCTGAGATACATATTTTTCTTTGCAACTCTGCCTAGAAGGTCAGCATCCCGGAGTCGTCTCTTTACTGTTGACGTTGAGACTGGTGTTTTGCAGGTACTATTTAATGAAGCTGCCACTTGAGGACCTGTGAGGCATCTGTTTCTCAAACTAGACACTCTAATGTATTTGTCCTCTTGCTCAGTTGTGCACCGGGGCCTCCCACTCCTCTTTCTATTCTGGTTAGAGCCAGTTTGCGCTGTTCTGTGAAGGGAGTAGTACATAGCGTTGTACGAGATCTTCAGTTTCTTGGCAATTTCTCGCAAGGAATAGCCTTAATTTCTCAGAACAAGAATAGACTGACGAGTTTCAGAAGAAAGTACTTTGTTTCTGGCCATTTTAAGCCTGTAATCGAACCCACAATTGCTGATGCTCCAGACACTCAACTAGTCTCAAGAAGGCCAGTTTTATTGCTTCTTTAATCAGCACAACAGTTTTCAGCTGTGCTAACATAATTGCAAAAGGGTTTTCTAATGATCAATTAGCCTTTTAAAATGATAAACTTGGATTAGCAAACACAACGTGCCATTGGAACACAGGACTGATGGTCGCCGATAATGGGCCTCCGTACGCCTATGTAGATATTCCATTAAAAATCAGCCGTTTCCAGCTACGATAGCCATTTACAACATTAACAATGTCTACACTGTATTTCTGATAATTTTGATGTGATTTTAATGGACAAAAAAATGCTTTTCTTTCGAAAACAAGGACATTTCTAAGTGACCCCAAACTTTTGAACGGTAGTGTAAGTATTCAGACCGTTTGCTTTGAGACTCGAAATTGAGCTCAGGTGCATCTTCTTTCCATTGATCATCCTTGAGATGTTTCTACAACTTGATTGGAGTCCACCTGTGGTAAATTAAATTGATTGGACATGATTTGGAAAGGCACACACCTGTCTATATAAGGTCCCACAGTTGACAGTGCATGTCAGAGCAAAAACCAAGCCATGAGGTCGAAGAAATTGTCCGTAGAGCTCCAAGACAGGATTGTGTCGAGGCACAGATCTGGGGAAGGGTACCAAAACATTTCTGCCGCATTGAAGGTCCCCAAGAACACAGTGGCCTCCATCATTCTTAAATGGAAGAAGTTTGAAACCACCAAGACTCTTCCTAGAGCTTGCCGCCCGGCCAAACTGAGCAATCAAGGGACAGAGCTCTGACAGAGCTCCAGAGTTTCACTGTGGAGATGGGACAACCATCTCTGCAGCACTCCACCAATCAGCCCTTTATGGTAGAGTGGCCAGACGGAAGCCACTCCTCAGTAAAAGGCACATGACAGCCCGCTTGAAGTTTGCCAAAAGGGACCTAAAGGACTCAGACCATGAGAAACAACATTCTCTGGTCTGATGAACCAAGATTGAACTCTTTGAACTGAATGCCAAGCATCATGTCTGGAGGAAACCAGGCACCATCCCTACAATGAAGCATGGTGGTGGCAGCATCATGCTGTGGGGATGTTTTTCAGCGGTAGGGACTGGGAGACTAGTCAGGATCGCTGGAAAGATGAACAGAGCTAAGTACAGAGAGATCCTTGACGAAAACCTGCTCCAGAGCGCACAGGACATCAGACTGGAGCGAAGCTTCACCTTCCACACAGGCAAGACAACGCAGGAGTGGCTTCGGGACAAGTCTCTGAATGTCCTTGAGTGGCCCAGCCAGAGCCCGGACCTGCACCCGATCGAACATCTCTGGAGAGACCTGAAAATAGCTGTGCAGCGACGCTCCCCATCCAACCTGACTTAAGATGAAGACTCGAGGCTGTAATTGCTGCCAAAGGTGCTTCAACAAAGTACTGAGTAAAGGTTCTGAATACTTATGTAAATGTTATATTTCAGTTGTTGTTTTTTATACATTTGCAAAAAATTCTAAAAACCTGTTTTTGCTTTGTCATTATGGGGTATTGTGTGTAGATTGATGAGTATGTTTTAATCCATTTTAGAATAAGGCTGTAACGTAACAAAATGTGGAAAGGTAAGGGGTCTGAATCCTTTCCGAATGCACTGTATGTACACTGAACAAAAATATAAACGCAACATGTAAAGAGTTTCATTAGCTGAAATAAAATATCCCTGAAATTTTCCATACGCACAAAAAGCTTATTTCTCTCAGACTGTGTGCACAAATTTGTTTACATCCCTGTTAGTGAGCATTTCTCCTTTACCAAGATAATCCATCCATCTGACAGGTGTCAATTTAAATTTAAGCAATTTTAATGTGTAATCCTAAATTTGGGCCTTAGTAAAAATGTCCAACTGACACTAGCTATGCTCTATGCAAATTGTCTGACTGACTGTGTGCTCCTACATTTTTCAACTTAGGCGCACTTTTATATGCAATGACAACAAGATGGCGTCTCAGATGTCTCCTTATTTATCCTGTTTAACATGTTAAAATTAGGACTGTCAGAGTTAATCAGTTAACGCGAATGAACGTTTTGTAATTGTTGTGCACTAACTTCCTGATTAATCGCATTGTCTGAAAACATCCAAAATACATAATATATACCACTAAAAACAGCAATGCAATGTCAAAACAAGTTGACATTGAGGTTAAATAGTACTGTGAAGGAAAATTGTATGTATTGTAATTTACCAGATTTAGCTAAAATCAAAGACAAATGGATTTTTCAATATTCTTGTAATGCTTTTTGTATAAAACAATCTTAATTTGCAGCTACATTTGAGCAAATTCTGAATTTGCGATGAATCGTGATTAATCATAGAAAATCCTGTTAACCCGATTGCATTGTTAACAAATATTTTGACAGCCCTAGTTAAAATTGACATTAAAATGTGAAAATGCACATGTGAAAGTGTACCGGACATGTGTCAGTCATGGTTGCTCATGGTTACATGATGAGGTAGCCCTGCATGCGACTTCACAAATAGTGTTGGCCTTTTTTTTGATCTAATGGTCAAGATGTTGGCTTCTTTCGTGGCCAGGTTTAATCCCGCCGGTTACAAGGGCACAAATGTGAAACTTATAATATCACATGTGAAGTGTTGGGAAACCACGTGTCTGAGTTTGTTCACTTGTTTTTTCATGTTTTTTTTGTAAGGGATGTGTAAACAGAGCAAGAGAAACACCAGACCCACACAACGACACACACACACACTGTCACACGGACACACACGGACACACAGATTGCACGCAGAGACGTACACATCTGCGTATTAGCAGTAGGATAAACACACAGGTCCACGGCAGCCCATCCACCATGTCAGACAGTCAAAATACACTGTCCTGTAGAGGACTGGGTTTCTGTGTTCACAGGAACATTAGAGGACTTTTCTGAGGAACTGTATCAGCCCAGAGAGCATAATTAGTCTTCAATAAACAGTTCTTCAAAAGCACCATTCTACTGTCAAACTGTTGTTTTGTTTCAGTGGCCCAAGAGATCTCTCAGGACCTACAAGGGGTGGAGGTGAGTTGGAGGAGGAGCAGGAGGGGTGGAGAAGGTATAGAAGGGATGGAGGAAGGACGTGAGAGGGGAAGGTAAGGCAAAAACAGAAGGGTCTCTATCTTCTATTCTCTGCTCTACCTTTACCCTCAAATCTGTAGGATCTTAATTATGATATTACCATGAAGGTTTTTCTTCCTCGATTTTCCGTCGTGTCAGCATTCAGTGATATACTAACTAAAACATAATTAATGGGAACTTCAAAGCTTCAAAGCTGTAGCCTACTTATCAGTCCAACCAATCTGGATAGGGATCTGTATAGGGAGGCCCTCCTACTTCAATCCAGTTGAATACCTTTCCCCCACTGCACTGCACACAAACACACACATACTGCACTGGCTGCTGTTATCTTCTCCACATCTGGAGCCTGAGTATGTACTGTAGATCACTGGAAGCAGAAAATAATGGCTGCAGTGTTTATCATGGCACCAGGATATTGTTAGTTTGGGTGCAGTGAGAGGCCAATCAGAGCTTAATGCATGCCTCTGAACATTAAAGGGATAGATCAGGATTTTGGCAATGAGGCAACTTGCCCAGAGTTTAATTAACTCATGGAAGTTAAAGGTCCACTATATATATAAAAGTATGTGGACACCACTTCAAATTTAAGCCACACCCGTTGCTGACGGGTGTATGAAATCGAGCACACCGCCATGCAATCTCCATAGACAAACATAGGCAGTATAATGGCCTCACTGAAGAGCTCAGTGACTTTCAACGCAGCACCGTCATAGGATGCCACCTTTCCAACAAGTCAGTTTGTTAAATTTCTGCCCTGCTAGAGCTGCCCCGGTCAAATGTAAATGCTGTTATTGTGAAGTGGAAACGTCTAGGAGCAACAACGGCTCAGCCGTGAAGTGGTAGGCCACACAAGCTCACAGAACAGGACCACGAGTGCTGAAGCATGTAGTGCATAAAGATTGTCTGTCCTCGGTTGCAACACTCACTACCGAGTTCCAAACTGCCTCTGGAAGCAACGTCAGCACAATAACTGTTCATCAGGAGCTTCATAAAATGGGTTTCCATGGCCGAGCAAGCCTAAGATCACCATGCGCAATGCCAAGTGTCGGCTGGAGTGGTGTAAAGCTCACCGCCATTGGACTCTGGAGCAGTGGAAACGCGTTCTCTGAAGGGATAATTCATCCGTCACCATCTGGCAGTCCAAAGGACAAATCTGTGTTTGGAGGATGCCAGGAGAACGCTACCTGTCCAAATGCATAGTGCCAACTGTAAAGTTTGGTGGAGGAGGAATAATTGTCTGTGGCTGTTTTTCACTGTTCAGGCCCCTTAGTTCCAGTGACAGGAAATCTTAGCGCTACAGCATACAATGACATACTAGACGATTCTGTGCTTCCAACTTTGTGGCAACAGTTTGGGGAAGGCCCTTTCCTGTTTCAGCATGACAATGCCCCCGTGCACAAAGCGAGGTCCCTACAGAAATGGTTTGTCAAGATTGGTGTGGAATAACTTGACTGGCCTGCACAGAGCCCTGACCTCCACCCCATCGAACACCTTTGGGATGAATTGGAACATAGACTGCGAGCCAAGCGTAATCGCCCAACATCAGTGCCCGACCTCACTAAGGCTCTTGTGGCTGAATGGAAGCAAGTCCCCACAGCAATGTTCCAACATCTGGTGGAAAGCCTTCCCAGAAGAGTGGAGGCTGTTATAGCAGCAAAGTGGGGACCAACTCCATAATAATTCCCATGATTTTGGAATGAGATGTTCGACGAGCAGGTGTCCACAGACTTTTGGTCATGTAGTATAGTTTTTCGAGCCAATGCTAACTAGCGTTAGCGCAATGACTGGAAGTCTACTTATAGTCATTGCGCTAATGCTAGTTAGCAGTTGCGCTAACGCTAGTTAGCAATTGTGCTAGCGCTAGTTAGCAAGCAGATACATAAAAATTTTATCCACAAGTATATCTGACTCTGGGGAAGTTGATAAATCCCGAACTATCTCTTTAAGATAAGCAAACTGCATGGAACTTCTGAGAAATTACAGACAATATAACGATTTATAATTCCTATCCTATCGAAGGAGGGTATTGACACAGATAGAACAATGGCCAGATATTTCACCGGATGTATAAGTGTTAAGCAGAGAAGAGTTCCCTCCCTGCAGGTCATTTCAGTGTGTGTGTGTATTTTTTTATTTCTTCATATTTCTCATTAGTTCATGTTTAACACAGTCCCTTGCTACTTTAATGTTGACATGCAATTTTTTAAAGAACTGTGTCAAACATGGGCTAATGAAAAATTCCTTCAAGTCCTCCTTTAAGGTTCTCTGAGGTTGTGTGGATGTTAGCAGAGGTCCATTAGCCTCAGCTGGAGGCTAAGTGTGTGTGTGTACAGTATGACGCACTCCCCAGTCTCCTCTAACCACTTAGGAAGTGCAGCACCTGCAGAATGTGCAGACTGAGGCAGGTGAGTTGCTTGGCCCTGTAAAGTAAAGTCACTCAGAGAGCCTCAGTCACGTGGTGCGCCAGTGTTCACCTGCTCTACAGTATCTATGGTCAGCTGTGTATTAGACACACACACACACACACACACACACACACACACACACACACACACACACAGGGGCATGTGAACGCACACATACACACACACACACATACACAGACACACAAACACTATGTTGAACAACACCAAAGGTAACTGCAGTTCAAATCAGCATTACAGTACAGTTGAGAAAAAGCAGAGTCTGTTGAACTGTTTTGTGTTGTCCATGACTCACAATCCAAAGATGGCTAACTGAAGTTATTATTCAAAAATATTTTTAAAATAAAACCACCTGACCGGTAACAAACAAACACCACTTAAGTCAAGACTTTGGCGTTTGTTTTTCATGCATGGGTATGTGTATTCCTGCCTCTGACATCCGTTTTCATGTCACTCCACCACAGTGGACCTGATGCTGTCAGGACACGTTTGTATTTACAGACAAACCTTACGCTCAGTCAGAGAGAACTTTCGTGTGTGTGTGTGCCTTCGTCAGAGAGGCCTTTTGTGTCCGTGTCATGAGCGTGTTGAGGAGTAAAGGAGACGGAGGATAGGAACATGAAGGGAGGGAACTGTTCTCTGTTCTGGCTAGGTAAATATTTTAGAGACGATGAGAAGAAGCTCTCTCATGAATTATTTTGAACGTAGGTTACAGCACATGCACACATGGTTGTATGCATGGCACGCAAGCATACTCTCTTTCTCTCTCTCTCTCTCTCTCTCTCTCTCTCTCTCTCTCTCTCTCTCTCTCTCTCTCTCTCTCTCTCTCTCTCTCTCTCTCTCTCTCTCTCACATAATATCATCTGTCATGCTTAAGTTTGGTTAGATCAGTTCATGCAAAAATCACAAGCAATTAACAATATTGCAGTAACCCACTCATTGGAAATGTTGACCCTGTGGAGACATTACGTAAGCACAAACCGACCACAACGTCTTGTATTTACAGAACACAGACTCTTCAAGGCCATGGATCCATGTGAATTATGACACAATAATACCAAACGCCATAACAGAGCCTGTGTATTCTTTGCATCGTGCATAAATCTAGGGAAAGATTTACTGTTGAAAATTACAAATAATATGCTACAGATACAGGATTTTAATGATCACCCTGTTGCAGGATAACTTTCCTGCAATGCAGGACATTTCAACTTGTAGTGTATTTGAGGTTTAAAAAAAGGCTTATGAAGTTTGTAATTTTCACTTTCAGACTAGATTTTCCTTTGTATCAACCCCTACAAAAATCCACATTTCCTGTTGCTGCAGGATTATTTTCCTTATGAAGCAAACTGACTCAAATCAAGATCCTATATCTGTTTTCAGCTGTTTCAGTTCAGCTTATCAGTCTCATCTCAATGCAATACAGCCTTCCCTCTCCATTCAGGCAAGTTTCCCAAGACCCCCAGCAACACAAACACATGTAGGAATGCACACACAGGCACACTCATACCCTACCCTAGAGATGCAATAAACCCATATGCCTACATTCAAATATCACATACAGTCTCTCACTTCGACCAATTGTGCGCCGCCCTATGGGACTCCCAATCACGGCCGGTTGTGATACAGCCTGGAATCGAACCAGGGGGTCTGTAGTGACGCCTCAAGCACTGAGATGCAGTGCCTTAGACCGCTGCGCCACTCGGGAGCCCATGTCTTAGTTATTCAGGTTAATGGCTTTAGCTGGGGGTCCATTTCCCTAACTGAGAGTCTGCTTGATCGTAGTGCTTCATTCATGCTGACGACCACAATATGACGCGTGGCTTAGCATGTTACATGTTATAATGAACCCATTGAACTCTAGTTTCTAAGGTTAAGGTTAGGGTCAGTACTGTAGCCTACCTGCAGGTAAGCGGTTCGTGGAAGGGTTTGATGCTGATGCTGGCCCTGTGTACTGGTCCAGGCTCGATGGTAGGCAGGCCGGTAGCTGAGGTGGTGGTGGTCCATGTAGAGGAGATCCTCCTCAACAGCCCCGGGTGCAGGCTACGCCGCAGACACTACAATGGCACAAATAATGCAAAAATAATTTATCATGGTAAACACCAGCCATGTTCCAATGTCCATACTTGTGGACCCCAGGAAGAGTAGCTACTGCTTTTGCAACAGCTAATGGGGATCCTAATAAAATACCCCAAAAAATACTAGTACATTACTTATTGGTATAAGTGTGGATATTGGGACAAAGCAAGTGTCTTTCTTTTCACATACATGCATAAAGATAAGTAGAGATCAAACAGATCAAGAATCAAAGATAAGAACATCACTGTCTGCAGACTCAGTGGAGGGCTTTATAAGTTAACAATTCCTCATCATGGCGTTATGGCATTTTACTGGGATTCCCTCACTCTCCCTTCTCCCCTCTCCCTCCTCTTTCCAACACCCACCCAAACCTCACCCCTCTCTTCTTTCCCTGAGATTCACAGTACCGATGCTGCCATCTGTTTGGTGGTAGACCCTTACAAAAAAGTTTTCACAAGTTAAATGGCTGTTTTCATTTTGTTTGTTTTTTTTACAAACTTTTACTTTAATTTAATCCTTTTTTTTTTCAGAGGGAGGTTACAGGTACAAAAACAATAAAAGAAATGCATACAAAGACAACCCCAACCCATTCCCCCCCTCAGTCCCCATCCTCCCTCCCCAACCGGAAACCATGTTTATCAAAATGTTCTAATCAATGGCAGATGGAATTAAAATGACGGAATTAAAGGTTAAAGGAGAAGGATAGGCTACAACGACCAAGAGCCAACAGGTAGGCTGCTACTTAACATTCTGAATGGAGTTTGTAACTGTAGGATGAGAGCGAATGCCCTGCAACCTCAATTAGCCTAGCTAGCTAACGTTAGCTAGCTTAACTAGCTTGTCCCGGTTTGATGCAGCTCAACGAGAGATAATACAGCTCAAGCAGCTGTTGTTTCTGATGAAGCATCTAAGTGCCTGCTGCTCAGCCACTTACCCCTGATTGTATGCATATGACTACCTAATCTATCACCAGCATCACTGCTATCGTTATTGATATCGTTCTTGTACATAGTGTATATCATTTTGTTCTTTCTCTACTGGCATTGACACTTTTTTTTATATTGACACTTTTATATTGACACTTTTATTTTGACACTTTCTATTTTTGATATTGCTACTATGCAAATATGCAAGTTACCATTTCACTGTACCGTTTACACCTTCTGTGTCCTGTGCATGTGAAAAAACAACTTTGATTTGATATAGTGTGTGTTTACCAGAGACAGTAATGTGAAGAACAACATGACCTGCACCAAAGTCAGATTAGGATATAGGCCAAGGACTAGATAAAGTGTATTCTTAACTGCAGTTTTAACTTATTGTAGGCTACTAATATCACCACTTTTAGCCCTGAAATATTTGGTTGTTTACTATACTACCTTACTCACTCTGTTTAGCACATCGCCTCACATGTGAATCCTTAAAGAGATGGGTAGGGCTAAGGCTTAAGAGGGTGTGAACGATGCTGAATGGGTGTGGACAAAGAAAAACTGAACCATAACTTCAAGGGCCATTTCTCAAAAGTAGGGTTACAAGTTTATCAACTTTCAAAGCAGCATTACTTTCTCATTGTACCTCCAATTGCAGTGTATAATATATCATTTTGAAGCTCTGAGACATTTATCCAATGTCAAAAACACAACTTCAAATGTTGGAACACAAGACCGAAAAGAGTTGGGGGGGTTACATTTACGGTTTCACTTGTAAGACAACTCCACACATGTGAATCTCACTTACACATGTAGAATTGCAAGTTCACGTGAGAAAAACATTTACATGTGAAAATCGAATTTGCAGTTTTACATGTGGAAAAGGCTTCACGTGAAAATCGAACTCTCACATGTGGAATCACATTTTGTGTATCACGAGGGTGAAATAGTGTTATTCTCCTCACATGTGAAAATGTGGTGTCAACGTGTTGCAGTAGCAATGTTTCCACATGTGGAATTGGAAATTCAGTAATGCCATTCTATAAAAAATAAAATGTTTTCGAGTTATCTGATCATTCTGTTGTATTATTTAATTGTATATTATTTAATTGTTCTGACAGAGTGAAAAACTAGTGAGATTATCCCATTTACACGAGTGTAGCCAAGCTAAGTAGCTAGCAAGCTAGCTCACTTTTGTATGCAAGTCAATGAGAACAAGACAGCATTTCTGAAGATTTTTTATTTTCGTTGTAAATGTTTTGGCTCTGAAATTGTTTCATTTTTTACAAACGAGGGCTCATATTGAGTGTATGTACATGTGCCCATATGAACCACGCTAATGATATGTATATTAGAAGGTTACCTTTATGAAATT